TGGAATTTTGATGTGTAAACAAAAAGTTCCAATTGCGCAAATTGCAATCAACCACTCTTTCTCTTCAGTCTTCACTATAATTATATATATATATAATTAATTAGAATTAGAAACACCTAAAAAAGATTAAAGAAAAGGGCTAAATATATTTGTTTCCTCGAATAAAAATGAAAGGAAATCAAAAAGGAGAGGAAGAAGAATTTACATAAGATTTATCCTCTACTAATTCACCACATAATGGATAATTAATAACAAGCGTACAAAATCACCAACACTGATCCGTCTCCCACCTTCGAGTCGAGTTAAATCTCGTCCTACCCGGACTCCTAAATCCAGAAACACTCGAAGTTTGCGGCCTCCGCCGTTGAGATCCGGTGCTCAATTTCAAGTCATAGACCGCCCTGGCGTCAGGATCCGATAACGTGCTGTAGGCGTTATGGATCTCAATGAAATTTCGACCATCTGATGATGATGAAGGACAACAAATCGATGAACTCATGAAACACGAGGTGGCATCGGGGTGGTATATCTTCGCAAGCGTTCTGTATGCCGTCTTGATCTCCGTTTGCGATGCGTTGTGTTTCACACGCAGAACTTCGTACAGGCTTCCCTTGTCCACTGCCGCTGCGGCTGGCGGCGCACCCTGGGCCACGGCGGAGCGTATAGACATGTGGCGGTGGTGCGATTGGAAGCAAATTGGGGATTTAGAAGGAAAAACTGGTGTCGCCAGCATTGATGATTGATTTTTTCTTTTCTCTGGGGGAATGGGAATGATTGATTTCTGAGAGAGAAGAAAATGAGGGTTTATATTAAGGTCAGAGGGAGGGGTATTGCGGGGGGGGGGGAGTGGGGGGCCCACGCAGCCAGCCTTTTTATATTAGTGGGAAACGTTTAATATATAAAACTGTGTGTTTGCTACTTTGCTTGGATAAATTTCAGTGTGCTGACATGGCACACGGGATTTAATCGATAACTCGCTTCTAGAAGGTTATCATCTGTGTCTCATCGGCTCCAAAATACGGTGTTCGCTTGCCATCGTGCTACATGTAATGTTCACATAATATTATATGGTATTTTATCATTTGACTATTTTGAATATAGTCAATTTTTTATCAAATCATCTACTGTCACATCATATTTTGTCACAGTAGTTACGAAGTGACATTTAGATAATTTGCTTCCATTAATTTTATAAAATTTAGTGCTTGTTTTGTTTCCATTTTATTTAAATTGTATTTTTCTCTATTTTCTTTTCAATATTTTCTTTTCAATAACACATTTTTAATAAAATAATACTATACATAAAAAAAAATTCCTTCTTTTTTAGTCACGCATTTTTTAAAAAATTATTATTTTAAAATATATTTTTCCCAAAACTTGAATCTAATGAAACCCAAATAAGAACTTAATATGTTGTATTTTGATATTTACATTAGGTCTTTGGGAGTAGAATCACACAAATTTGTGGGTATCCATTATCCGGTGGACACCGGATATCATCGTTAATACTAAATTTTTGTATGTCAGCAAATGCTACACTCAAAATACCTATAACCATTATAGATCATAAGTAAAATATGGAAAATTTGAAGTACTCGATCTCTATAAAATATGTGGGAATCACTGTATAATTGAGATTCGACAAATGTCAACTTAATAGTGACAAGAACACGATTAGAAAGAGCAAGTCAATCACATAGATGTACATTCCTTTTATTTTAGAATTATGCTAAGTGTGTGCTACATGGATTACATCTTAGTGTACATTGCGTGAAAATTTAAAAAGTGTCGGGTGGGAAAGAGTTTTTTTTAAAATTTGTCCAATCACGTGTCAATAAGTGACACGATGAAAAAAAATAATGCAAAACAAGATATATACGTAGCGTGATTGTATATTTTATGTGTTGCCAATCAAATGTTCTTTTTGTACCACTCTATTATGAAATTTACCATGTGCCGACCCTCCTTAGTCCTTTTATCCATTATTGCCCGATACAGCCAAAACTACGTCGGGTCTATTTTATTACTTTATTTGTGATATTTCTTTCGCAAGTTGTCTTTAAGTTAAAGTTTTCAACTTAGAGAAATAACTAAAGTATGTTTTATGACCACTCATGAGCATGATAACTTTAGATGATTTGGAATAAATAATAATAAATTCAATTGCGTAACACTAGAACGTGAAAGAGTAATATATCTTAATCTTTCTCCAGTAATATAATTATATATGAATTGCCTCATATTGAATTCAAAGAAGTGACATAAATAATGACTCTCTTCCTGGACAGCTTTAACGTTATTTATATTTGATAGAAGGCTGAAACTCTACCCCAACCAAGTGAAACTAAGGGTCTGAAAGGACTCACAATCTGATCTATTATGGGGTCTCAATCCTCAGAGGACGGCTAAGAATTTTCCATCATAAGGAGTGGATTGATGGGGTCGATTCTTTCTAGCACGAATAGAACAATCTAAAGGGTTACGCAACCTAGAGAAATGACCATATATCTTTGATGAATATGGTATCGAGGTTTGGTTCAATTGAAAAGAGGTCAGTCTTAAGGGAAACCATTCGAATGGTTGAATTTATGACTTCGCCTATAAAAATATCCCTTATGTCTATGATATATATACACACACATACATAAATGGAAGAAAATCTGGATCAAACCCGTATATTTCTTACTTAATCTTAAGCCATGTTTGATAGGGCAAGTTTTCTATGGAAGATAGAAATTTTTTTGCCATTTTCTATTTTTTAGAGTGTTTGATAGGAAAAAAATTTTCAAGTAATTGGTTTTCCACATTTTCTTTGGGCCTGTTTGGTAGGGATTCTTATTTTCTACAGTAAATCAATTCTCATTTTCAACCACACATTCTTCAATAAAATAATATTTTCCATCACATCAATACTTTTTTCTTCTTTTTCAACCACACATTTCCCATCATATCACTATTCAAAAATCA